TGTAGATGGATAGATAGGGGTAGAGGAACAGATCGGATAGATGAAGATGATAGATGGGGTACATGTAGATTGATAAATCGGGGTGAATGTATTTCCTCAAATAATTGAAGAGTACATGTTAGATCGGGTTGGATGTGCTTGGCTAATTCGGGGTGGATAGATGGATAGATCGGGTTGGATGTAGATGGATAGATCGGGGTGGTTGTAGATAGATAGATCGCGGTGGGTGTATATGCATAGATCGGGTTGGATGTACATTTAGATGGGTAGATCGGGGTAGGCGAGGATAGATAGATCGGGGTGGGTGTAGATGGATAGATCGGGTTGGGTGTAGAAGGATAGATCGGGTTGGGTGTAGATGGATAGATCAGGTTAGGTATAGATAGATAGATCGGGTTGGGTGTAGAAGGATAGATCGGGGTGGATGTAGATGGATAGATCGGGGTGGGTGTAGATGGATAAATCGGGGTGGATGTAGATGGATAGATCGGGGTGGGTGTAGATGGATAGATCAGGGTAGGCGAAGATGGATAAATCGGGGTGGATGTAGATGCATAGTTCGGGTTGGGCGTAGATTGATAGATCTGGTTAGATGTAGATGGACAGATCGGGTTAGGTGTGGATGGATAGATCAGGGTGGATGAAGATGGATAGATCGAGGTGGATGTAGATGGATAGATCGGGTTGGGTGTAGAAGGATAGATCGGGGTGGATGTAGATGGATAGATCGGGTTGGGTGTAGATGCATAGATCGGGTTGGGAGTACATGCATAGATCGGGGTGGATGTAGATGGATAGATCGGGGTGGGTGTAGATGGATAGATCAGGGTAGGCGAAGATGGATAGATCGGGTTGGGTGTAGATGGATAGATCGGGTTTGATGTTGATGGATACATCGGGGAGGATGTAGATAGATAAATCGGGGTGGATGAAGATGGATAGATCGGGGTGGATGTAGAAGGATAGATCGGGTTGGGTGTAGAAGGATAGATCGGGTTGGATTTAGATGGATCAATCGGGTTGGGTGTAGAAGGATATATCGGGTTGGATGAAGATGGATAGATCGGGGTGGATGTAGATGGATAGATCGGGTTGGGTGTAGAAGGATAGATCGGGTCGGATGTAGATGGATAGATCGGGTTGGGTGTAGATGCATAGATCGGGATGGGAGTAGATGCATAGATCGGGGTGGATGTAGATGGATAGATCGGGGTGGATGTAGATGGATAAATCGGGGTGGATGTAGATGGATAGATCGGGGTGGGTGTAGATGGATAGATCAGGGTAGATGTTGTAGAAGGATAGATAGAGGTGGATGTAGATCGGGTTTGGTAAAGAAGGATAGATCGGGGTGGATGTAGATGGAGAGATCGGGTTGGGTGTAAAAGGATAGATCGGGGTGGATGTAGATGGATCAATCGGGTTGGGTGTAGAAGGATATATCGGGTTGGATGAAGATGGATAGATCGGGGTGGATGTAGATGGATAGATCGGGTTGGTTGTAGAAGGATAGAACGGGGTGGATGTAGATGGATAGATCGGGTTGGGTGTAGATGCATAGATCGGGTTGGGAGTAGATGCATAGATCGGGATGGATGTAGATGGATAGATCGGGGTGGGTGTAGATGGATAAATCGGGGTGGATGTAGATGGATAGATCGGGGTGGGTGTAGATGGATAGATCAGGGTAGGCGAAGATGGATAAATCGGGGTGGATGTAGATGCATAGTTCGGGTTGGGCGTAGATTGATAGATCTGGTTAGATGTAGATGGACAGATCGGGTTAGGTGTAGATGGATAGATCAGGGTGGATGAAGATGGATAGATCGAGGTGGATGTAGATGGATAGATCGGGTTGGGTGTAGAAGGATAGATCGGGGTGGATGTAGATGGATAGATCGGGTTGGGTGTAGATGCATAGATCGGGTTGGGAGTAGATGCATAGATCGGGGTGGATGTAGATAGATAGATCGGGGTGGGTGTAGATGGATAGATCAGGGTAGGCGAAGATGGATAGATCGGGTTTGATGTTGATGGATACATCGGGGAGGATGTAGATAGATAAATCGGGGTGGATGTAGATGGATAGATCGGGTTGGATGTAGAAGGATAGATCGGGTTGGATTTAGATGGATCAATCGGGTTGGGTGTAGAAGGATATATCGGGTTGGATGAAGATGGATAGATCGGGGTGGATGTAGATGGATAGATCGGGTTGGGTGTAGAAGGATAGATCGGGGTGGATGTAGATGGATAGATCGGGTTGGATGTAGATGCATAGATCGGGGTGGGAGTAGATGCATAGATCGGAGTGGATGTAGATGGATAGATCGGGGTGGATGTAGATGGATAAATCGGGGTGGATGTAGATGGATAGATCGGGGTGGGTGTAGATGGATAGATCAGGGTAGGCGAAGATGGATAAATCGGGGTGGATGTAGATGCATAGTTCGGGTTGGGCGTAGATTGATAGATCGGGTTGGATGTAGATGGACAGATCGGGTTGGGTGTAGATGGATAGATCAGGGTGGATGAAGATGATAAATCGGGGCGGATGTAGATGGATAGATCGGGTTGGGTGTAGAAGGATAGATCGGATTGGATGTAGATGGAGAGATCGGGGTGGATGTAGATGCTTGATCGGGTTTGGTGTAGAAGGATAGATCGGGGTGGATGTAGATAGATAGATCGGGTTGGGTGTAGATGGATAGATCGGGTTGGATGTAGATGGATAGTTTGGGGTAGGCGAGGATAGAAAGATCTGGTTGGGTGAAGATGGATAGATCGGCTTGGGTGTAGATGGATAGACCGGGTTGGGTCTAGATGGATTGATCGGGGTGGATGAAGATGGATAGATCGGCTTGGGTGTAGATGGATAGATCGGGTTGGGAGTAGATGCATAGATAGGGGTGGATGTAGATGGATAGATCGGGTTGGGTGTAGATGCATAGAGCGGGTTAGGTGTAGATGGATAGATCGGGTTGGGTGTAGAAGGATAGATCGGGGTGGATGTAGATGGATAGATCGAGTTTGGTGTAGATGCAAAGAGCGGGTTGGGTGTAGATGCATAGATCGGGGTGGATGTAGATGGATAGATCGGGGTGGATGTAGATGATAGATCGGGTTGGGTGTAGATTGATAGATCGGGGTGGGTGTAGATGGATAGATCAGGGTAGGCGAAGATGGATAAATCGGGGTGGATGTAGATGCATAGTTCGGGTTGGGCGTAGATTGATAGATCGGGTTGGATGTAGATGGACAGATCGGGTTTGGTGTAGATGGATAGATCAGGGTGGATGAAGATGATAAATCGGGGCGGATGTAGATGGATAGATCGGGTTGGGTGTAGAAGGATAGATCGGATTGGATGTAGATGGAGAGATCGGGGTGGATGTAGATGCTTGATCGGGTTTGGTGTAGAAGGATAGATCGGGGTGGATGTAGATAGATAGATCGGGTTGGGTGTAGATGGATAGATCGGGTTGGATGTAGATCGATAGATTGGGGTAGGCGAGGATAGAAAGATCTGGTTGGGTGAAGATGGATAGATCGGCTTGGGTGTAGATGGATAGACCGGGTTGGGTCTAGATGGATTGATCGGGGTGGATGTAGATGGATAGATCGCTTGGGTGTAGATAGATAGATCGGGTTGGGAGTAGATGCATAGATCGGGGTGGATGTAGATGGATAGATCGGGTTGGGTGTAGATGCATAGAGCGGGTTAGGTGTAGATGGATAGATCGGGTTGGGTGTAGATTGATAGATCGGGGTGGATGTAGATGGATAGATCGAGTTTGGTGTAGATGCATAGAGCGGGTTGGGTGTAGATGCATAGATCGGCTTGGGTGTAGATGGATAGATCGGGTTGGGAGTAGATGCATAGATCGGGCTGGATGTAGATGGATAGATCGGCTTGGGTGTAGATGGAAAGATCGGGTTGGGTGTAGATGGATAGATCGGGGTGGATGTAGATGCATAGATTGGGGTGGATGTAGATGGATAGATCGGGGTGGATGTAGATGATAGATCGGGTTGGGTGTAGATTGATAGATCGGGTTGGATGTACATGTAGATGGATAGACCGGGTTGGATGTTGATGGATAGATCGGGGAGGATGTAGATAGATAAATCGGGGTGGATGTAGATGGATAGATCGGGTTGGATGTAGAAGGATAGATCGGGGTGGGTGTAGATGGCTAGATCTGGGTGGATGTAGATGCATAGACCGGGGTTGATGTTGATGGATAGATTTGGGTGGATGTAGATGGATAGATCGGGTTGGGTGTAGAAGGATATATCGGGTTGGATGTAGATGGATAGATCGGGGTGGATGTAGATCGGGTTTGGTATAGAACTAAGGATAGATCGGGGTGGATGTAGATGGATAGATAGGGGTGGATGTAGATGAATAGATCGGGGGATGTAGATGATAGATCTGGGTGGATGTAGATGCATAGACCGGGGTTGATGTTGATGGATAGATTTGGGTGGATGTAGATGGATAGATCGGGTTGGGTGTAGAAGGATATATCGGGTTGGATGTAGATGGATAGATCGGGGTGGATGTAGATCGGGTTTGGTATAGAACTAAGGATAGATCGGGGTGGATGTAGATGGATAGATAGGGGTGGATGTAGATGAATAGATCGGGGGATGTAGATGATAGATCGGGGTAGGTGTTAACTGACAGATCGGGTTGGGTGTTGATGGATAGATCGAAGATGATGATAGGCCGGGGTGGATGTAGATGGATAGATAGATAGGGGTGAACGTAGATGGATAGATCGGGGTAGATGTAGATGGGTGATAGACCGAGGTAGAAGGCGCTATAGAAAAGTACTCATCATGATTACTTTTTTAATTATTTATAAAGATAACAGGATTGAGGTTCTTATAGCCGTGGTGATTGTGACGAGAGCCTAACGCATGCGCACGTTATGTCTGTAGCCGCCGCATGTCGTACACCAATATTAAACAAATAACAATGGGTATTTAAACAATTTATTAACCAACAATATACATAATTATATCAACGTAACACAGATTTATTATCGCTTCTTGCTTCTCATCAGGCCTTTCAAAATATGACTGACAGTGAGTATATACAACCACAGCAATTTCTATAATTAGATATGCAGCAAATAATAATAATGATAATAATTATAATAAAAAAAATAAAAATAATAATAATTATAAAGATAATGCCTATTTGTCAACAATCGACCCAAATCGTGTTTACAGTCACAGCGTACGCTTTGACACTCGTGTTAAAGGCAGAATGAGACGCGAACGGTAAGTGTTACCCGTGTAAGAAATCAGTCCTGTCTACATATTTCTTGCATGTATAAATTCCACCATGCAATAATTCAACAACGCTTTGACATTGATGTGAAACACCGATCTCTTCAGGACAACTGTTATCTGTGTGTATCAAATTTAGTGATTGTAAAAAAAACCTTTCCCTTTTTGACAACCATTACTCCGTGATTCTGGCACTTCCCATCACCCGATGAAGGGACAAGAAATACCCCTGAAACGTTGTTCATAGAATAAAGAACTTATGTCCACAAAGAGGTTCATGTCGTTATGAATGGCTATCAAAAACTTAACCATTTATCTAAATTACGATGTCATCATTACGACGTAGTGCTTACTGGTGTGTGTACTGAGTATCTGTTGAGAGAGATTCAAATACATCAGGGAGTCGGAAACATCAAGCCAAATGTTTCAGTGACTGAAACAAGACTGAAAGAAACACAATGCCAATGCATATAACGTTGGCTCGTAGACAAAGGCAAAGGAAAAGTACCCAACTTACCCAACACCCATCTTGTCTAGAGACAAGGACGGTTAGTCGGACACAAATGCCTGGTGGCACCTAAAATGTATCATTGGAAATGATATAACTATACATTTTACCATAACATTTTAAAGATACAGGGATTGGTTATCAGTTCTTTAAAAGCTGTACATCGTTAGAACCATCAAACACCTACACAGTTTTAAATATGTAAGGAACCGCCCGGGAGTGAGTGAGTGACGCCACTTTGATCGGTATTTCAGTTATATCACGGCAAGTCAGCTTGGGAGGAAAGGGCTGCAGGTTTTGGACGTTTATCATAATCAGTGCGAACGGGGATTCGAACCCACCATGAACGACACACTTCTACTAAATCACAATATAATGAATAAAAATATGTTATATTTACTTTTGGGGATGATTATATAATCACGTTTCAGATGCGTATATATATATATAGAGAGAGAGATATATGTGTAAATGAAAATGTCGGGCGTGGAGGCGGCGATCGTGCTCAAGTATGTCCGCTATACGAGTGCTTTGAGATGGCATCAAGTTTAAACTAGGCTTGTGTGGAAGTTAATATTGATCCGTCTTAATTAACTTACAGACATGTACAGGCGTCGGGAAATGTGGCACAGCTGGAAATACCATCAGCCACTTTTAGCGAAATACAGCAGAATAGTTTGAAACATGATGTCACCGTGATTCGATTATTTTTTCCCATTAGGTTATGTAAAGTGTCCCATAAACGTTAAACACATAAATGTTGTTTTTTATCATTTTCGTCAAACGCATACCATTGTTATACCATGGGGCTATCGATTGCTGACGGAAAGTTATAAAGTGATACATGTCATGCGTATTTACCTGTTTGGATAAACCCGCAAGCACGGGTAAGGTTCTGGCAAACTGGGGATCATTATCATTATCTAGGGATCATTATCAGGTCTAATTTGGGATTCAAACCAACGACCAACGCGGGCCCTGGCACGGTTGAGTGACGTCACTCTGTACAAAAAACTGCGTACCCTTTTCATGTGTCGTTATCAAAACCGAAAAAAGGTACATGTGAGATTGATAAATACATGTAGGACCATAACAACTTTGTTTAGAAGAGAGAGCTTTTACAAGGATAGGAAGGGAATTTATGGATTTAGAATATATTTTCTCAGTGTATGTGACTTTGTAAATATCTCATAAAATCTTGAAAGATAAGATGTGATTGATATTATTGTTCAAGGCGTTTTTGCAGCCCTTGAACCAGAGCAGGGCTCAAAAAGTGCCATACTTTATGCAAGATGAAAATAATTAATGGTATTGTCAATGTCCGTTTTAAATAATATGAATGAGTGAGTGGGTTTAACGACGTTTTGGATATTTTTCAGTTATATCACGGCAAGTCAGATTATGCAAGATGGATAAAATAGTAAAATGTCAATGTCAGGGTACAGGATGAAGAGATTCAAGAGTGAGTGAGTTCGTTCTTGTTCAGTATTTCAGTTATTTAAAGGTTGTCAGCATGATGAGGGATGGAGCAAGCACAGGCGATGTGTTGACAAACCAAAGGAGCAATTATCAAATTATTGTGGTCCAACATGAAAATAAAAAGAAGTTAGTCAAATTTGTTTCCTTTTAGTTTTCAGAACAGAACAGAACTGTGCTCCATTGATGCTTACGTGGAATGATAAGAACATAACAAACCGGGAAGGTTAAACACAAAATAATAATAACCATAATTCATTCGGCTAAACAGTTTCACACATACCTGTGTGACGGTCATGACAGAATGATTGAAGGCTATTGTCAAACCCAGTATTATCATTTGGGCGTTTGTAATAATAGGAGTGAAGCTATTTGTCAAAGTCGCCTGATAAGTGATCACTTGTTAACATTACAAAAATAATAGGAACTGCGTGTCTTCATAAGTCTGATCAGTACGTAATACAGTGTGTGATAAATGAAGTTGTCAATACGCCTATGTATGGGTTAATTTGAGTTTGAATACATTAAGCAGTGTAATAGCATGTCCTCGTGAGCAAAATTCGAAAACTTTACGATCCATGGCAATTTCGAATTCGTTTTGGTACAACTGAGTATAATGAATGGTGTGATATATTGACAAACAATGTCTAAGGCTACCCAAGACACATCACCTGGATAACATGTTCATAGCAAACAATCATAGCAAATAAAATATAACGATTGACTCGTCACGCGTTAACTTGTTAATAAAATAATGCCCTATCTCCAGGGCCGCTCTATTTCAATGTACATTATTTCACCGGCCTCTTCAAAAGACACTATCACTATGCACAACCAGTCTTTGTATACAACACATCGTCTCAAGTCATCAACTGATCCATAATATGCGGAATTCTTCAAAGTCTGAACACTTTTGGCCGGCCACTTTTCCATTGTAGTCACGTGCACCAATGATATCTCTGTATATGTTTACAAAAATAATAATTGTTTTCATTGGTCGCTCAAAGAAAAGAATTAAATGTGATGTAGTCCAGAATGTGCGTTCTTGAAATCCTTGGGCACCGTTCAGAAAAGTCACCACCTACACCGCCGAACAACATTCTTTCCCAGATAGGATGTCGTCATTGATATAGCAAAGGTTATATCGCCAGCTTCACTGGTCTGTACCCGCTTGGCGTATACTGTTGTCCACTCCAGTTAGGATAGACAACCCGGCCGTGAGAATATTTGTACTTCATCTTGCCTGTCCATGTGTTGTTGAGTGCGCACTGGTCAAGCTGAAATGTGAGATGTGGATTTAAGGACAAGAAGTATCTGCTTCATTAAAACCCGTAAAAATTCAGGTCATAAGAGGCGACTAAGAAAATCGAGTCGTGAGGCTCGGGCACTTGAATGATTGCATGTCATCGTATCCCATTTGAGACAGACCTCGTCATATATCTGGAATATTGTTGATTGTGGCTTTAACCAACCTACCAACCAACATCTATATTAATTGTGATAAACAAGAATCCACAATCATTTTAGATAAATGATAAAGTTGTCATTGATATTTCCGACTGCATGCAAATGCTTAATATGCAATAATGATAATAAACATATTTTGGAAGTGTACTAGTCAGAGTACCAATACATGGCATTATGGCGTGATCGTTTAATAATGACAACTGTGGGTGTATAAAATGATGGAGAACGTAAAGGCACATGAACAAATCACAAGAATATATAGTGACATAGACATCAAGAAAAGCGATTCATAGAAGAAAGAATCTTGAAGTAAACGTAGCCATGTACAATACTACCACAACATAAGGAAAGCGTTTGTAAACGTGGGTGAGTGAGTGAGTGAGTTGGGTTTAACGCCGCTTTTAACATTATTACAGTTATATCACGGCGTGTCAGCTTAATGTGGGAGGAAAGCCCGAAGTGATGCAGGTCTCAGACGTTTACCACTTCGGTGAAACCCACGAGCACGGGTATGGTGCTGACAAACCTAGAAACATAATTGGGGCGAACCGGGATTCGAACCCACAATCATAGGTTTCTGGCGTGCCCAAGGGACGAAACTCTGCACAGCGAATCGCGGCGCCTTAGACGACTGGGCCACCCGTGCCCCTTTGTAAACGTGGAATAGTTCCAGTTCGGTTTACTTTGAATCGCAATGCATTGCTGTGGATGATCAGAGTAATGATAAATACATATTACGAACACAAGTACATCGAAATGATTGTTTCTTTTCTGGAATTAGTTCATGTTTACACCCTGGTTTGGTTAAGTTGGAACTGGATAATATACAACCTTGATGGGTAATACTTGAAATAGAAGGATAGAATTTCCTGTAGCCCTGTTTTAGAACTGAGTGCCAACTGACCTCGATGTCCGGCATACTCCGCCGTGAGAGCCTGCTCTTGGAGGTGGAGCTGTCCGAGCTATTGGAGTCGAACATGCTCTTCCTCCACATCAAGTTGGAGAGGCTGTACAGAAACTTCTGTTTGAACATCGTGCAGGTGAGGGTGTAGAGAAGAGGGTTCAGAGCACAGTTGACGGGTAGGATGAACACGACCACCCAGCCGTACAGGTAGCCAGGGATTTTGAAGCCTGTGGGATCAAATAACGGATTATAGTATGGGATGCTTCAGAGCGTGTTTAAACAAGGGTATAGTGCTGACACCGACACGGGAGGGGTGGGTGGGTGTACTTTTGGAATTTGAAGCAGAGGATCCTGACAGTTAAAAGAGGCATCAATAAACAACTGCATCTCCTTTGATCTCTGTACTATCCTTGATCGAGAGAGAGTGAGTTGATATTCGCATTATTCCAGCAACATCATGGCGTGGGAAACCAGAAATTGGCTTCACCAGAAATTGGCTTCACACGGTGTGCCTATTTGGGGAGTCGAATCAGAGCTTTCAGCGTGACGAGCGAACATGCCGAAGAGAGGGTAGGATTGAAGTCAATGCATTTTAAGGGTGTATGTATATGCAAATAAAAGCAGTACTCTTTATATAATCATAACAAACCCTTGGTATTCATCCTTACCCATTAGTGCAGCCACTTTGAGTGCAATTATTGGAACCCAACAGGCGAAGTCAGTAATGACAATGAAGAAGAACCTCTTCATCAGGGACCTTTCTTGATTCTCATTGGTTGACCGGAACAACATACGTGATTTCCGTATGGACACAAACATCGCCACATAGGCATACGCGATAAACACGAAAGACACCATGTTTATTCCAAGGAAAATAAAAGCCGAGTACTCCCATCCACTGTTGCGCGGCTCATGAAGCAGCAGAGGGATACAGACAGCATTGTTCCTGTAGAAGTAAGTCCCGAAGTAGTTCAGGCCAACGATGGGAATGGTCGCCAAAGCGAGACTAAACAACCAGATGGATCCCATAAGAACATAGGCAAGTCGTAGGTGCCTCCTTCTTTCGGACAGAGGGTACATGATGCAGAGGTACCTGTCCAGGGTGATGACTGTGAGAGTGAGGACCGACACCTCGCTGCTGACGGTGCTGAGAAGGCCGCAGACGTCGCAACCCCAGCTGTCTCTCCATGTGTGGTCAAAGGAGAGGTAGCGTCCTCTGTACCTCATGTCGTGGACAGCAATGACCGTCAAGTAGATGCCCATCAGAAGGTCCGCCATCGAGAGGTTCTTGATGAAGAAGGAATGTATCTGATTGTCTTCTTTCAGGATGAAACGGCCCATGAGAACAGCGCAGTTGCCGAAGCAGGCGAGGATTGCGACGATCCAGACGGTGACCCTGAGGATGATGTTTTCCAAGAGGTTCTCCCTGCTGGAGATGCCGTCCCCGCGAGGTTCACACACGTCGATGTTCTTGACGTACACGCACAGGTGAAAACGGTCGAAGTATCTACAAAAACAATTATTTGTTTAGTTTAAGCATTTGTGTACCTTAACTGCTTAGTTGTTGAGAAACACGCAAATATGTTATATGTTTTATTCATAAGGAAGATATACAATTCTGTTTTGTTAGGGTGGAAATGGGAATAAAGGTTTTAGATGATGATAGAAATAAAAGCGACAAGACCATTTCCACAATCCTAAAAATATCTCTAAAAGCAGTATCCATTGTACGATTCCGACTATATTTCATAATCCTACTACATCATCAAATGCATCACATAATAGTAACGAATTTTAAGTTGTCACTTCTTTTCACATTTCAACTAAACTGCCGGACAAACGAAAGAATAAAACTAAAATTAAATTTTACTGAAAAATTACAAACGTTATGAAAACGTTACTAGGCTGAAAACAGTTTCCGAAAAACTGCAAACGTAAGGCCCATAACAAAACTATGATACCCTTACCAAATACATCTCCATCGAAAAACCATTTCTTGTTTGTTTCATTTCAGACACCATCAAATATGGGTGTATATTTTCTTTTGCCCAGCACCTTTACTGCCTTGCTATGTCTTAATACTGTACATTGGCCTTAAGACCCGTGAAGATCCGGGGTAGAATAGGTCTTCAGCAACCCATGCTTGCCGTAAAAGGTGACTATGCTTGTCGTAAGAGGCGACTAACGGGATCGGGTGGTCAGGCTCGCTGACTCGGTTGATGCATGTCATCGATCCCAATTGCGTGGATCGATGCTCATGATGTCAATCTTTGGATTGTCTGGTCCAGACTAGATTATTTACAGACCGCCGTCATATAGCTGGAATATTGCTGAGTACGGCGTTAAACAAGAAACAAACAAACACACGAACATTGGCCTTAAACCCGCAACTCAGTAACTACTGTCAAGACAACTGGTTCGTACTGACGCCCACGATGCACCTTTAGAGAAAAGCGAAGAAAATTGATGATATATGTTTTATTGATTACATTGTGTCTGGTTTTTATTACTCACATGTACTTCAATGTCGAGAGATCGTCAAAAGTCCCTGGCTGAACCCCCCGGAAGTGATTATCTCTCAAGTCTCTGCAAATTGTAAAAAAAAGAATAGGTACTCTTTCTCTAATGGGAATACTAATCTAATCATATCCTCGTACTCCTTCAAAGTTGTTTAATGTTGGTCACACGTGTATTTGTAAATAAAGCCAAAAACCCTTTGACATATTTAAAGAAATCTCTTCTAAAAGCACAATTTCATTGGTGTCGGAATAGGAGGCTTTCGCCCAATGTTAACCCTTATTTTAGATAATCCAAGACGAAATCATCAATATGTAACGCACAGATATTTGCATGTTCTAACATATAGATGCAATTCCGGTTTAATTAAAGATTTAAAAGATATGCACATTTCATATCTTAAACTGTTTTCAAGTATCGAGTTCCAGTATCAAACAGTGATGACACCAGGTCTTCGCGAAAAGGTGAGCGTGTCTTGCCCACTGGTGTTACCCCTCACAAAGATAGTAGTAGCTTTTGCTGCATTTTGATATACGACATGTTGTGTTTAATCTTTCATAAACTTGGATCGGTACACCATGCACGTGAGTGACATTAAGGTGGTTTAGGAATGTGACCCTATGAAAGATTATGCTGGTGTACGTACATTGAGGATATGTTCTGCAGAGGATCAAAAACGCCCTTTATTATATAGTTAAGGCTGTTGTCCCTCAGATTTCTGAAAGGATGAATAAATACACTCAACTCAACAACAAAATGAACTCTCTCTATAATCAGCCATGTCCTTTAATAATGTTCACAATTCCCATTGATTCATAGCTGTTAATTGTATGGGTATAACAATAAAGTATTGTGGTTGTCCTTATGGATGCCAAAATGCAGAGTTGCGACCCTTTGGCTGCCAAGAATTTATGATCACGGTTTTTTTTATACTTTGAGTTTTCAATAAAATGACAAAGGAAATGCGTCAAGGACCTTCATCACCGACATGCTGTTCATCAGAATGGCGATAAACCCAGCTCACTCACCACTCACTTTACACGTTTCCATAATGCGTCATTGAAAAGGATCGCGGGCAATATGTGCAGTACTTGCGTGTTTATGATAATGCCCGTATCGGTACTTACAGCTGCGTGAGATTGGTCAGGCCTAATAATGTGTTCAAACGAAGGCTCGAAATGAAGTTGCCGAACAGGACTCTGCAATGAAAAATGAGCGGGTATTATTATTGTGATGATGTGCTTGTCATAGTGTACAGTAAGTGATGTACTCTGAGCATGTGATGATGCACTATATTTATGTGTGTGTGATGGTATTTTATATTGTGTAATAGTGTATCCTGTATATGTATGACGGTGTACTATATATATGTTTGATGATGTACCCTGTATATGTCTGATGATGTACCCTGTATATGTATGACAGTGTACTATATATATGTTTGATGATTTACCCTGTATATGTTTGATGATGTACTATATATATGTGTGATGATGTACCCTTTATATGTGTGATGATGTACTATATATATGTATGATGGTGTACCCTGTATATGTGTGATGATGTACTATATATATGTGTGATGATGTACCCTGTATATGTGTGATGATGTACCCTTTATATGTGTGATGATGTACTATATATATGTGTGATGGTGTACTATATATATGTATAATGATTTACCCTGTATATGTGTGATGATGTACCCAGTATATGTGTGATGGTGTACTATATATATGTTTGATGATGTACCCTGTATATGTCTGATGATGTACCCTGTATATGTGTGATGGTGTACTATATATATGTTTGATGATGTACCCTGTATATGTCTGATGATGTACCCTGTATATGTGTGATGGTGTACTATATATATGTTTGATGATGTACCCTGTATATGTCTGATGATGTACCCTGTATATGTGTGATGGTGTACTATATATATGTTTGATGATGTACCCTGTATATGTCTGATGATGCACCCTGTATATGTGTGATGGTGTACTATATATATGTATGATGATTTACCCTGTATATGTCTGATGATGTACCCTGTATATGTGTGATGGTGTACTATATATATGTATGATGATTTACCCTGTATATGTGTGATGATGTACCCTGTATATGTCTGATGATGTACCCTGTATATGTGTGATGGTGTACTATATATATGTATGATGATTTACCCTGTATATGTTTGATGATGTACCCTGTATATGTCTGATGATGTACCCTGTATATGTGTGATGGTGTACTATATATATGTATGATGATTTACCCTGTATATGTCTGATGATGTACCCTGTATATGTGTGATGATGTACCCTGTATATGTGTGACGGTGTACTATATATATGTATGATGATTTACCCTGTATATGTCTGATGATGTACCCTGTATATGTCTGATGATGTACCCTGTATATGTGTGACGGTGTACTATATATATGTTTGATGATGTACCCTGTATATGTCTGATGATGTACCCTGTATATGTCTGATGATGTACCCTGTATATGTGTGATGGTGTACTATATATATGTATGATGATTTACCCTGTATATGTGTGATGATGTACCCTTTATATGTGTGATGATGTACTATATATATGTGTGATGGTGTACTATATATATGTATGATGATTTACCCTGTATATGTGTGATGATGTACCCTGTATATGTGTGATGATGTACTATATATATGTGTGTGATGGTGTACTATATATATGTATGATGATTTACCCTGTATATGTGTGATGATGTACCCTGTATATGTGTGATGATGTATTATATATATGTGTGATGGTGTACTATATATGTATGATGAATTACCCTGTATATGTGTGATAATGTACCCTGTATATGTGTGATGATGTATTATATATATGTGTGATGGTGTACTATATATGTATGATGAATTACCCTGTTTATGTGTGATGATGTACCCTGTATATGTGTGATGATGTACCCTGTATATGTGTGATGATGTATTATATATATAGGTGTGATGGTGTACTATATATGTATGATGAATTACCCTGTATATGTGTGATGATGTACCCTGTATATGTGTGATGATGTACCCTGTATATGTGTGATGATGTAGTATATATATGTGTGATGATGTAGTATATATATGTGTGATGATGTACTATATATATGTATGATGATTTACCCTGTATATAGCATTGTACATACATCATGCATTGTTAGTTAGAAGAAACACCCATACCTTGTAAATACGTTGAACTATAATGAATATAACAATTTGAACCTGTGTGATGATGTACTATATATATGTGTGATGATGTACCCTTTATATGTGTGATGATGTACTTTATATATGTCTGATGGTGTACCCTGTATATGTGTGATGATGTACCCTTTATATGTGTGATGATGTACTATATATATGTCTGATGGTGTACCCTGTATATGTGTGATGATGTACCCTGTATATGTGTGATGATGTACCATTTATATGTGTGATGATGTACCCTTTATATGTGTGAAGATGTACTATATATATATGTGTGATGATGTACCCTTTATATGTGTGATGATGTACCCTGTATATGTGTGATGATGTACCCTGTATATGTGTGATGATGTACTATATATGTGTGATGGTGTACTTTATATATGTGTGATGATGTACCCTGTATATGTGTGATGATGTACCCTGTATATGTGTGATGATGTACTATATATGTGTGATGGTGTACTATATATATGTGTGATGATGTACCCTGTATATGTGTGATGATGTACCCTTTATATGTGTGATGATGTACTGTATATGTGTGATGGTGTACTATATATATGTGTGATGATGTACTATATATATATGTGTGATGATGTACTTTATATGTGTGTGATGGTGTACTATATATATGTGTGATGATGTACTATATATATTCGTGATGATGTACCCTTTATATGTGTGATGATATACTATATATATATATATGAGTGACAATGTACCCTTTATATGTGTGATGATGTACTTTATATATGCGTGATGATGTACCTTTTATATGTGTGATGATGTACCATATATATGTGTGATGATGTACCCTTTATTTGTGTGACGATGTTTTAGATATATGTGTGATAATGTACCCATTATATGTGTGACGATGTACTATATATGTGTGTGATGATGTACCCTGAATATGTATGATGGTGTACCCTGTATATGTGTGATGGTGTACTTTACATTTGAGTGATAATGTACCCTTTCTATGTGTGATGATGTACTATATATGTGTGTGATGATGTACCCTGTATATGTGTGATGATGTACCCTTTATATGTGTGATGATGTATTAAATATATGTGTGATAATGTACCCGTTATATGTGTGACGATATACTATATCTGTGTGTGATGATGTACCCTGTATATAAGTGATAATGTACCCTGTATATGTGTGATGGTGTACCCTGTATATGTGTAATAATGTACCCTTTATGTGTGTGACAGTGTGCCCTGTATATGTGTGATAATGTACCCTGTATATGTGTGATGATGTACCCTGTATATGTGTGATGATGTACCCTTTATATGTGTGATAATGTACCCTTTATGTGTGTGATGGTGTGCCCTGTATGTGTGTGATGATGTACCCTTTATGTGTGTGATGGTGTGCCCTGTATATGTGTGATGATGTACCCTTTATATGTGTGATAATGTACCCTTTATGTGTGTGATGGTGTGCCCTGTATATGTGTGATGATGTAGCCTGTATATGTGATGGTGTACTATATATATGTGTGATGATGTACCCTTTATATGTGTGATGATATACACTGTATATGTGTGATGGTGTACTATATATATATATGTGTGTGTGATAATGTACCCTTTATATGTGTGATGATGTACCCTTTATATGTGTGATGATGTACTATATATATGTGTGATGATGTACCCTGTATATGTGTGATGATGTACCCTTTATATGTGTGATGATGTACCCTTTATATGTGTGATGATGTACCCTGTATATGTGTGATGGTGTACTATATATATGTATGATGATGTACCCTGTATATGTGTGATGACGTACCCTGTATATGTGTGATGATGTACTATATATATATGTGTGTGTGTGTGATAATGTACCCTTTATATGTGTGATGATGTACTATATGTATGTGTGATGATGTACTATATATGTGTGATAATGTGCCCTGTATATGTGTGATAATGTACCCTTTATATGTGTGATGATGTACCCTTTATATGTGTGATGATGTACTTTATATATATATGTGTGTGTGATAATGTACCCTTTATATGTGTGATGATGTACTATATATATGTGTGATGATGTACTATATATGTGTGTGATGGTGTACCCTGTATATTTGTGATTATATACTCTGTATATGTTAGATGGTGTATTTGTGTGGTGATATTCACTATGTTTGTTTGCTGATATTCCGTGTATGTGTGATGTTGGATACTATACAATGTTTTGTTTTTTTAAATGATCTTGAATATGTTTATGTTTATTGTGTGCGTAAAAATGTATTTCATTGGTAGGCTACTTATCATTGAGCTTAATAGCAATGACAACAAGGATATATCGACCCAACACAGATTTTATAAAAAACATACGTTCATGATACAGTTACCTCTTGCAGTGTTCGTTGTATGAAGTTCCAAGCTGAACGAGCACTTGAGTATTAGAGGCTCAAGAGTTACGTCCCTTTCTACCACTGACAACCCTTGTTTCTAACCTTACGTTATAATGTCCACTACTTCTAAGTAAAGGCAATCGGTACTTACAGATGTTTCAAACTCTTCAGGGTACGAAAGGAACTGGATTCTATGGATGCAATTCGGTTTCGGGATATGATTCTGAAATTAGAATAACAAATCTGACAAATTTCCATACGTGCACAAGACAAGAAAAGACACATCAGTGCATTTTCAATATTCAACACTGGTCAATTGAGCGCCAGTCATATTCATAGACAAAGCCACTACAGCCTACACTATAGATAGGAGTGTCCAGTACGAGGGGAACAGGTGTTCTAATTTGATGTGCAGAGTTGCGTCCCTTAGACGTGTATCTGATCCGATGATCATGGTTGATACGTCATCACTTTACCCCTGCGGGTGGATTTGAGGAATCTGGAATACCATAAACATCTAGGACCAGCATCACTTTGGACTCTCCTCCACATCAGTTGAATAGGTCACATTGCCTTGTGAGTAATCGAGTCTGGACCAGACAAATCAGGGTTGATTCCATTAATCAACATCGGTCAGAGCGTCTGGGTACAATCACATATAATCTCCAAAGTCTAGCTTTGCGTACAATTTAGTGGGTTCTCATCTCAAACATGTGGCACTGAGGACGCACTAGCCTCCCAATCCTATAGGGAAGATGGACAATGTTCCGAGAACAAGCATTATACTCACAACGTCTGCAGTTTACCCAAGTCAGCGAAATAGTTGTGTTCGATTTTGTCTAGGTTGTTTCCATCAAGTAACCTTGGAGGAAAGCAGGACGAAGAAGTTGTTATTTCTGATATATGGATGTTATACTCAACAACATAATAACTATGGCCATATCAGGTTATTGATAACTGAAAATGTATATTTATGATGATATAGGCTATATGGTTTTGCAAACTGATCAATTACAATGTTAAAAATACAAAAAAGCCTTTAGAAAGTGTTCAACGAAGAGTACTATTGAGTTGTATGCTTCCAAAAAAACAAAATATGATGGAGAAGAACCCGCTGATAGTAACGTTTGATTTTGAGTATAAGGGAACAGACTTTATGTAGAACTGATCTTAAAGTTCAGAGTTGCTTTGCGAATAGCTATGTTCTTTTTCAATATGTTTTTAATGTCTACACGCTAATATTTGTACCACCGCAATACATTTAACTCAGTGCTGAACACATCACGCGGCACATAACAGTGTATGTGTACACGGAATTCCAGAATCCCTATACAATGTTTGTTTGTTTAACGCCAATAGTCCAGCTATGTGTACAGCGGACTGTAAATAGACAAGACAATCAAGTGATTGACATCATGAACATTGATCCATGAAATTGGGATATGATGACATGCATCAACCAAGTCAGCGAGCCTGACCACCCGATGCCGTTAGTCGCCTTTTACGACAAGTATGGGATTCTGAAGACCTATTCTAAACCGGAGCTTCACGGGTTCTCTATACAATGAAGTCTAGTACAGGAACGCATTACGCTGCAATAGTCTTACATTATTTCGCGATGGGTCTATTTCGAAGGATCTGTAAAAAGCTGACATCGCTCAGAGGTGGCCTAAATTTTATATCTGCATCGTCCGTGACTACCCTTGATTAACATAATACAACATATTCCATGCAATCCTCGCATCATATGCAAAAAAAACAAATTGCCAATTCTTAGTACCATTGTGCTTAATAAGTAGAATTCCCAATGGTTAATTACTCACAACGACTGCAAATTGCCTGTCTTTGCGAATGTCATCGGGACTATATCTCTGATGAGGTTGTTATCAAGCTTTCTGAAAACATGAAACGTGAAGGATATCTGTGCAATGGTAACCTTTGGATGTTAAAGAAAAAACCACTCATTTCCAATATTTAAGCGTTTGCAGTGAGTGATGAATGCTGTTTAACGTCGCAGTCATCAATATTCCAAAGATATCATAGACGCCTGTTAAAAATCTAACTAAGCAAACCAGGGTGTCTGATATGAGTAACGATCTACGCCTTGCAACAGAACCAGAATTTCCAGTCACCAGGGGGCGGTCGGGGTAGCCTTGTGGTTAAAACGTTAGCTCGTCACATGGGCTCGATTCCCAACATGAGAAACAATGTGTGAAGTCCATGTCTTGTGCCCCCCGCCGCGATACTTCTGTAATATTGCAAAAAGCGGCGTAAAACCATACTCACTCACTCACCAGATTCGGCTCTGGGAACCATTTTCCACACAGAAAAGCACTTCAAACACAAGATAATTGGTCTATTTGAAATTTGTATTTTTTAAAATACATTTGCATTCATGAATTAAAGAACCGATTAATTCCAGCTGTTGGTATTTTTCAACTGAAAATTGTAAAAGGGCAAATGTTCTTATAGATAATCAGTAAACATCGTGGTACTTACAAATGCTTCAGCTTTGTAAGCCTGTCAAAGTATTCAGGTTTAAGAATTGTCAGACGGTTGTGGCTCAGATACCTGGAAGGGCAAATATCAAATGTCAACGCCTGAGAAGCATTAGTCACGATTATCTGCCGAAACAGATTTCAATGGGCGTAAAAGGCAAAACAGCGAACAAAAACAACACTTGGATGGATCGAATTTGACACCAGGTGTTCGCGAAAAGGGTAAGGATGTCCTGCCCACAGAAAGGCTGAATAAAGTCTTTGGACAGAAATCTGCAGATGGAAGTCAGTCATGCCAAATGCTTGGCTGGATAAGTCTTTTTTGTTATATAACAAAACATAAATAATGTCCCAATATACCTTTAAAAAATCAATAATTTAAACATTGTCCCTAGCAAATGGTAAAATGTGTTAACATATCAAATAGCTATCCATTCATAACACACCAAAGAAGAGGAATAAAAATTGCTCGGATTTCTCATTGAAATTCAAAATTGGAAACAAGGACCGCTTCCAGTCTAACCAAATATTTGTTTCTCGAAACTTTGATCCCCAATACATATGCACATCTTAGGATGATTGTTTACCACACGTAGAACGAAAGTTGTAGATTACAAATTGGAATTCAAACGGTAATTAAACTAGACCGTCTTCATTTGAATTATACACAAGTAATTTCACAATATTATGTGAATTAAGCATTATCATTCTTATTCTTATTTGTATGTACAACAAAGTTCTTTTACTACTTTGTTTTTGTTTTCATACGTTAAAAGGTTGTCACTGTATATGTCGTTAACCAAATGATTTGATGAGATGAATGTTTATTCATTATGTACTTGAAAGTGTATTTATCGATGTTGGTATGCAGAAGTAATATCCTAATGTGAAGTCATCAAACATTTCGATATGAATGATTTGTAGAATTTCTTCTCTAACAATCTGTCTGACACAGTCATACAAGGTAACTTGTCGAACTTAGTAATGGGCCTGACACAGCCACACACCGTAACATGTCTAGCTCAGCAAAACGCCCGAAAGAGCCACACACCGTAACTTGTCTAACTCAGCAAAAGGCCTGAAAGAGCCACACACCGTAACTTGTCTAACTCAGCAAAAGGCCTAAAAGAGCTACACACCGTAACTTGTCTAACTCAGCAAAAGGCCCGAAAGAGCTACACACCGTAACTTGTCTAACTCAGCCAAAGGCCTGAAAGAGTCACATACTGTAACTTGTCGAACTCAACAATAGGTGTGAAAGAGCCACATACTGTAACTTGTCTAACTCATCAATGAGCCTGACACAGTCACACACTGTAACTTGTCGAACTCAGCAATAAGCTTGACACAGCCACATACTGTAACTTGTCCAACTCAGCAATGAGCCTGACACAGTCACACACCATACTTGTCCAACTCAGCAATGAGCCTGACACAGTCACACACCATACTTGTCCAACTCAGCAATAAGCCTGACACAGTCACACACCATACTTGTCCAACTCAGCAATGAGCCTGACACAGTCACACACCATACTTGTCCAACTCAGCAATGAGCCTGACACAGTCACACACCATACTTGTCCAACTCAGCTATGAGTCTGACACAGTCACACACCATACTTGTCCAACTCAGCAATGAACCTGACACAGTCACATACCATACTTGTCCAACTCAGCAATGAGCCTGACACAGTCACACACCATACTTTTCCAACTCAGCAATGAGCCTGACACAGTCACACACCATACTTGTCCAACTCAGCTATGAGTCTGACACAGTCACACACCATACTTGTCCAACTCAGCAATGAGTCTGACACAGTCACACACCATACTTGTCCAACTCAGCTATGAGCCTGACACAGTCACACACCATACTTGTCCAACTCAGCTATGAGCCTGACACAGTCACACACCATACTTGTCCAACTCAGCTATGAGTCTGACACAGTCACACACCATACTTGTCCAACTCAGCTATGAGTCTGACACAGTCACACACCATACTTGTCCAACTCAGCAATGAGCCTGACACAGTCACACACCATACTTGTCCAACTCAGCAATGAGTCTGACACAGTCACACACCATACTTGTCCAACTCAGCAATGAGCCTGACACAGTCACATACCATACTTGTCGAACTCAGCAATAAGCTTGACACAGCCACATACCATACTTGTCGAACTCAGCAATGTGTCTGCCACAGCCGTACAGTGTCACTGTTTAAATATGCAATGTGTCTGCCACAGTCGTACACTAGATAATTTGTCTAATCTTAAACGTGTCTGGCTCATGACATACACTGCTACTGGTCTTATTCTGCAATGTGGCTGGCACATAAAGCCAATGTAACAGTGATCACACGCTTGTATTTTCCAATGTAACAAATAAAAATATATGTCTCATTTCCATGTATACTGACAACAAAACCACGCCAACATAATTCCTTCTCCCTCTCGGGACCTGAAAATGTTTAATGCACGACAGGCTTTAATTGGAGATTCGTGTCATTTCTATCAAATAACATTTTGATGAATCAACAATTCAAGACATATGTGCAATATGTTAAACTAACATGTCCTTCACAACAATATGATTGAAGTGAAAATATGTTATATAAGAAGAATAAATTAGCCAAGAAAGACGTCAAATTCTAGTTTCTTCCGTTATATATGGGCCTCTTCGCTGGCTAATACCATCGGGCAGCTTATCAAGCCATTCATCAACCAACACCAATAAAAAGCTGATATTTGAATATCCAACTGTATTGTTGAAGGACATGAATAGCACCTAATCTGATCACCAAAGATGTGAGAAGGAAGTGTCCTGACCGCTTTACTGTGATAGCATGTCTTTGAGCTTGCTGTAGTTTCTTTTTGCCTTCATTGTTGTCTTATATAAGACCGTGTCAGGTTGCCCTGCCATAGCCAGGTTCAGGTTTCTTACTTTTCCTGTTTACCGCCGCATTCAGCAATATTCCAGCTACTGTATATGATGGGGGCTTGTAAAATATCAGGGTCTGGCCGAAGTAAACCAGCGATTGATATCATGTTTGTTTTCTTTGTTTATTTGTTGTTTAACGCCGCACTCAGCAATACTTCAGCTATATGACGGCGGTCTGTAAATAATCGAGCCTGGACCAGACAATCCAGTGATTGACATCATGGGCATTGATCCATGAAATTGGGATCGATGACATGCATCAACCAAGTCCACTCAACCAAGTCGCCTCTTACGACAAGCAAAGTCGCCTTTTACGGCAAGCATGGGTTGCTGAAGATGTGTGTGTGTGTTTGCGTGCGTGCGTGCGTGCGTTTTCAGTATTTATATATATTCCGTATGTAGCGGAATTTCCGACTCTATCTGAAGAGTGACTATATAATCCACGACAATCCCATTTTGATGACAAGATTGTTTATATATAAATGCCTTGATACCATGAATAGAATGGTCAGTCTATATTTTGCACAACACCCAACTCCGACACCAGACAAGATCCCAGGGAGGACGAAAACGTACCACAGTGCGCATAGTAACGTCTTGGATCCATGGCCTACCCCTTTTAATAACAAGACGGTGTTCTTATTTCATATTTATTTTAAAATTTCATATTATGTGTTATAATAAATATTTCTCATACTCACAACTCTTCAACGTTATTGTTCTCTGGGAACATGTCCTGCGGAAGGTCCCCCAGCAGGTTGTCTGTGAGGTATCTGCGGGAATAGCAGGATGTCAGTAGGACAGCTCGAGGACATCAGATTCAACACGCCACCTACTCCTTCTAAGAGTTACCTTACACTCAGGGCGGTCATATAACCGCAGGATTAATTCAACACTACCACGTTAACATATACTAGCAAATGTCTATGAGCCGAGATTGTACATAAAGAGCCAGACAGACAGACAGACAGAAGTTAATTCAATATTTTAGGCCATATGACCTATAGTACAGAAGTGCGTAGTTTTTTTTGTATCAACATTGTACAGTCACGTGAAGGTAATAATAAGTTTACATATAATATTAACGTCTAATTTTTAAAAATCTTCTTCAGGAATATTGACAGAGATGATATTGTATTAGAATTGCGGGAGTTCAACAAATTTTTCATCAGTTGTTCATCTTTGTACATAGTTGAAATCATAGGGAGGTATCTATTTCTAAGAAACTGATAATATTAAGTTTACAAATGAGAAGTACATGAAACTCATCCTCAACATAGCCTTCATTACAATAACGGCATAAACTACTTTCTTTATCTTGTACATTTTTCTTTCTGAGATTATTAACAATAAAATTATGTAATGATATGCGTAATTTACACAAAGATCTTCTCAAAGTTCTATCTTGAAGTTCAGATACATATTTTTCAGGAACAAGTAATGATTTTATGTTCGTATAATGGCATAAAAACCTTGAGGATGATATTTGACAGTGCCAATCTTGTGAAAATATATCAAGTAATCTTTGCTGAAGCATGAAGATAAATTATTTATCATTTCCAACATCTTGAGATATCCATGCAAGAGAACATACAAAGAATATTCTTGATATCAGACACCCATAAACAATATTTACCCTTTTCATCCAAGCCTTTTAACATATTATAACAATGAAGAGGAAATCTATTTGAATTCATACGAAGTAGCTTTATCCAATATTTAACTACCCGTAGCTGGGATGAAACAAAAAGACTGGTACGACCAGTTTCTCCTAGAATGGCTTTGTTAGAGGCATATTTACCGACACCTAAAAAACGTTTAAAGTACATGGCATGATTTTTTTCTATGGAATCATTATATTGACATCCCCATATTTCTGAACCATACAGAAAAATTGGTCCTATTTTTCTGTCAAAAAATGTCCGAAACACCTCGGAAAGATATAAATTTGTTTTCTTTAAAAAACTCTATAGACAGGAATCAAGGCCTTAGATGCTTGCAGAGCTTACATGCTGTTAACCATGATAATCGAGAAGATACAGTCAATCCTAAATATTTATAATGTGAAACAATATTGACTGTCTTATTACAATACGTCCATTTTTCAAATTTATTTAAAATACCACCTTTTCTGAAAACAATAGCATTTCACATTTCAAATTTACTTCAAGGCCCCATTTCTCACAATATAGCTGGAGAACATTATCTGTTTCTGGAGGCCAGTTTGAGGACTTCAGATTCAACACGCCATCTACTCCTACTAAGAGTTACCTTACACTCAGGATGGTCATATATCCGCAGGATTAATTCAACACTACCACGTTAACATATACTTTGGTTTTATTAAATCATATGTAAGAATAACTTTACTATATGACACCAGTAAAGCAAATATGGATAGAGTACATTGATAATGTAATCACAACCCCCTTCCTGTAGCCTGGTAATTTAGACAACGATGTATAACGCATTGAAGTGCCTTTAAGCAAGGACGAATCATGAGTTCACAATGTTAATGTTATTGAATTATATTGTCTGAGAGCGAAGGGTCTCTGATACAGAAGCCGCTGTGCTATCGTTACTCGCAGGGGACGCCGACGATACATAACATCTCGGATAACTTCATATGGCGCACAGATTAAACACAGAGGGACTGATTGCTTGTCCGCAGGGTATGGCGTATTGAGGCCATCGGGAATCAGTATCAAGTTTGGATTGGGGGCAAAACAGAAAAAAATGCTTTTGATATAACATTGAAGTATCAAAGCAACATCAGAGTTTCTAAGCGGGGTGACGTTCAATTTGTCATTTTTATCTCAAGGTAAACACAATAACAAACACGTATCCTGACAGGAGGATCATAACGACGGCTTATCAGATTCAGACTGCATCGGTTGGGTAGTTTTCTGATGAGACCAAAGGGTACTGAGCAATATCTGAACTCGCTGGACTATAAAGGAATGGCTACTGTCTCGTTACACTTTCAGCCTACGCACAACAGGATTGTGGGACCGTGCTAAGAAGATAATTTACGAAACAATGGGAGATAACATTATTCATAACCATTATTCGTACCTTTAATATACGAGGTTTACTTGAACTGGGAATTGAGACGGTTACTATATCTCGATAAATGCATGGGACATTCGTTGCAGTGGACGCTCGTTGCGTCAGTTTGAACCTGAACATGAGGACACTGTTTGAAGTGGCGTTCTCAACTGTGGTATTGCAAGAGTGAGTTAGTAAGCTATCTGAACTCCAGGAGACTGGTGGGTTTTAAGACACATGAAATTACGTTCAAAAGGGGGGACTTTGTTAAGTTCCATAAGTGGAGTACACATTCATCGCAAATGTCTATGAGCCGAGATTGTACATAATTTAATATGAACCTCAAGTTTGATTTAATGATACGTACTTCAACGTGTAATAAACTACTCTTATATATACAAACCCGCGATGATTCCTTGTTATAGATCCTTTCAAAATATATTTACAAGTGTGATTTGCATTGGAGTGCTCTGGACGCTTTTGTTTTAGCGAGTATTGTTAGCAATATTCCATCAATATCAGTGATGCTTTGTGTGTTGCTTCTTTTCATGTATCACAAAAATGGAAATATGCGAAATATTGTTATTCCAGGTTTTGATAGGTTGGAGAGGTTTTGGATTAAAGTTATTTTCGAATCGTAATGTCGTAATGTAATGCTCTACTACATGACGTTAAGGGGACAGTGTGTGTATGACTTTGGTGTGGACAGTGCATTTAGTAATACCTACATCTTTCGTAGTTTTGAGCATGTGTTGAAGGCCTTCCTCTGTATTTCTTCTAGGTAGCAGTGACTGAATATTCTGAAAATGGATATGTTTTTATCTATTGACATACGAATACTGATGAAACACACTATGACAAAATTCTTCACAGATTATTCAGCAGAAAAACTTCGTCAGTGTCTAACGATGAAGCTCAGTTTCTGACTCAATCTTTTTCGAAAATGACACTTATCTTCTACTAGGCATGAAGGGCTCAATATTTACATTTATTTGAATGTGGCAATAATCTGTGAAGTCATGTCACTACTCCGCTCACGTTTTATGTTCTCTTTCACATTAAACGTTAAAGTTCTGTCATAAACGTCAAGTTGGTTCGTTAAAGCGTGTCACAGTTGTCACAGCTTGTGTTAGAGGTTGAACAGAGAGTGCGAACGATTTGAAAATATGGAGAGACTTACAACTCCTCAAGATGCTGCATGTCTTTAAAATCGCTGTGGGATACAACTTCTATCCGATTGCCCGACAAATCTCTGAAAATGAGAGAATATCGATCACCTGTAAAATGAAGTTATTACGTCTAGATTAACAAGCAACTTCAGACTTTTGTTTATAAATCCATTTGGGGATTCGTGGTCAGAATAGAACATATTTACTATTTATTCCCATGTTAAATTTTCTGAAATAGAATCCGGTATCAAGACTCTAACGAAACACATCAATATGTTCATTTGCGGCATATGCATATATGACGACGTTATTACTTTATAGTGGGGAGTGTCTAGTGAGTTGTTCCCCATAGATGTAGCTGTGCAACGGAGATAAACACGATGGCCGAACGATCGCATCCCAAAGCGGGAGAGATATGACAATCGGTACTGGAGGAAAGGTACAGGTAATCGAAGTGAGGGTTGGGGGAATATGCGGGAAATACCCACCTGTGCATAAAATGGACTTGTACGACATTTATCGTCATCCTTAAATAGGTTGTACATAATGTTGATGTCTCATATAAGAATAAACGACCCATGGTTTATTCTCCATGCAGTGTTTTTTTGTACTATAAACAACGACCACGAGTCGTTTATTTCTTGAATATAATGACATGTTTTCTAACTGTTTCATGTCTTGTGACTTTCAGGAGAAGCATACTGTATTCTCAGGCCAACTTTCGAGGAGAAATCTCCATTAAAAGCAAAGTCCATTGTACGATTCCGACTCTATTATGAGAATGATTTTTATGAATCACTTTCAAATAGCGAGGTGGCAAACTTCATAAACACACGCAAAGGCAAGTCATGTTTTTCTAAAAAACACGGGGAAAACAATGTTCGGTCACAAAATATAAATCATGTCTGAACCGCTTTAGTCCTGACAGTACAACCTAGGTGTTGGTTGTCAGGGAGTAGATCTCGTCGCTATCTGTTCAATCTCTCTGAGACTGATTTATATAAATGTAGTAGTGCTGTGTGTCAGTGTGAGTGTCATGTTGCACCTTTTACGATGGCAACGTCCGACTGTTGGCTTTAATCACTAGTCAAATCAACAAGATAAAGAGAACAAACACGGCATGTGTTTAGGAATCCATTATAGGTTTATGAATACATGACACTCGTTTATTCTTTGAAACATTGTTTCATGACTACTCTTGCCCCTTCATCAGGTGAATGTTTTTAATTTCCTGCCTGCCAGTTTATAACACGACCTTGATACAGCACAATCATTACCCTCGTGGAATACGTAGATGCATCACTCGAGAATGTATGTCACTGGTGCTATCAGCTTATCGCCCTTCTTTTAACAACGTACTAAGCCTATAATGAAGTCTTTGATAGGCATTAAGAAGTTTGAAGAACATAAAAACATGACACTATTTTTTGTGGATAACAACTTCTATATTCTTTGTAATGACGTCTTAGAGCTACATCTTGCCCCTTCATTGTTGATGTTATCAAGAAAAAAACACTTTTGATTACCCAATGTCCTGGCAACAAACCGAAATTCTCCATACCAACATCAACCACTGAAAAAAGAGGAAACGTCAAGAATCTATTGAAATCCAAAGAAAAAAGCCTGACACTAACTCTACACCTACCATTAACAGCAAATGGACATCTTGATTGTCTTGTTGCTTTATTGTTACCATAGGCAGCTTCTTGTTTTCACACCCAGGCCCATCATCACTACATCTTCATTGTTGTCAATTGGCTAAATCCCCCGCTGTTCCCTGTAGCTTCCTCCTTACATTATTATCTTTGTACATAAAACCTACCTCGTGTAAACTTATCAGCATGAAATAACATATATAAAAATATTTTTAAAAATATAAATACAGTGGTGAGATTCACTAGTGTACAGTATCACATATGAAATGAGGATATCCACAAAATAATCACACGAAACAGATTGTTCTTCCACGTTTCAGCTTTATCTTCAAGTTGATATAAACACACAAATATATATAAGCTGAAACGTGGGAGTTTATTTTGTGAATATCTTTTGAATATATTTTGTGTATATATATATATATATATATATATATATATATATATATATATATATATATATATATATACTAAAACGTTTACTCGGTATTCACCGACCTTATCGGTGTACCCTGTTGAGATTTACGAGAATAACCATGACTTGATGAGGGTCAAGGAATAGCCCTGAAATGTCTTTACAAAGAATGAAGAAGTAGTCATCCATCAAAAAGTGTCATGCATGTGCTCATGTTTTTACAACTCCTAAATGCCCGCCAAAGACTTCGTTATAGGTTAAGGTCGTAGCTGTAGCTTGACGAGAAGCTGACAGAACCAGTGATATGCCTTTTCGAGTGATACATCGACGTATACCACGAGGCCAATGGTTGCACTAAATTATGGTCGTGTTATAAACTGACAGAAAGGAAATTAAAAAATCTCGATTATTTCAATGTACCCAGTACATGCTTGCTAGACGGCCTTTATGTTGGACGGATGTCATTTACGTTACAGTTTTTGATGACTTGTTATTCTGCGTCCCCGTTGATAAGAACAACACTATATGTCTATGACCTTGTCGGCGACAACCAAGAACAAACAGGAAAGGGATATATGGCACTGCGCACAAAAGGTGAAGGGGAAATGGTTAATCTTTATGCAGTTGCTGCATGAGCGGACCCCTGCAGAGCGATGCTTTTGTAATACGACGAAGAGGACAATTGTTTATCATTAAGAAGAAACTGATCTTAATCTGAACCGCATAAGATACGCACGACTCGACGATTTCATTATTGTTATAGGATGAGATAAAATAGAACACTTCAGTCTGCAAATATTACATAAACACAAAAATACACTAGCGTTATTTTTGTAATAAATCTAATTTAATCTTCTGAAGATAAATTGATCAATTCGAGCATCCAATACATTGCTAAATTATATCAGATAGATCACTTATTTCAGGCATAAGATTTAATCGTGAATTCAAGCATAAAATAAAATGTTAAATTCAAATATAATATAAAATGCTAAATTCGACTCTAAGTTGTTGTTGTTGTTGGTTTGTTGTTTAACGCCGCACTCAGCAATACTAGTATTTCATCTTTATGACGGGTCTCTAAAAACTCGAGTCTTGACCAGACAATCCAGTGATTGACATCAAGAGAATTGATCCACGCAATTGGGATACGATGACATGCATCAACCAAGTCAGCGAGCCTGACCACCCGATCCCGTTAGTCGCCTTTTACGACAAGGATAGTCGCCTTTTACGGCAAGCATGGGTTGCTGAAGATCTATTCTACCCGTGTTTCGACCCTCAGAAAAATGATTTATTCCAATATTAAATTAAATACTTTAACCCAATATTAACGTGAAATGCTTAATAAAAGCTTGAGATAAAGTGTTACATTCAAGCCAAATATATATACAATATCGGACACACCTACAATTTCAAGCACAGGGTTTAATAGGAAAACCTATTTAATAGTGACTCACAAACACATGCTCATGAAGTTGTGGAAATCGTACAAAGGACACTGTGATAGGTCTTTGAAAGGTATTTAGAAGTGATTCACATTAGAAAGAGAATATATGGATGTCTACTTCTTTATTATGAGGAACACAACGTTTCGGAGTATATGCTTACTCCTTCATCAGATGAATGAATGCCATGAGGCAGAGAGCATATATGTGTACATGTAAGGACAACAAAATGGTAACAAAACGTGAAAAATAACAAAGGGTACAGCAGATATTTCTTCTGGTCATGGACTTTGTTGCCTCGCTTATATTTATAGGACTGCACTCACTAACGATGTAGAGTAAGCCATTAACCTCTGTCGATAAGTATCAGAGAATACCTTCTTGCAATTACCTTAATGTTGGCTTCCCCTAACTTCATCATAAAATTATCTGTATCTGACAAGGACGAGCACATTACTGAGAGATATCAGAATACCCGTGTTATCCAATACGAGAGTGCAATGCCAATATCCTCACGGGCGTCCTCACTTGAATAGAAGTACGTAAATGAAGGTATACCTAAACCTGGATGTAATTTATATGCTGTCTCTAACGAACAAATTCTTGTTGTTTTAGATTGTATCTTGCTGAAAAGGTATTTGTTTGTAATGGCCCTTTAGGAGTTGCATGATTCTGAAGTTACTTCTGTAAATGGTGGGCAGGAATAAGCGAGAAACACAAAACATCAGTCTTGAGTGGGGATATTGTATTCAGTTTGTTGCTTAATGTTGACCCACAGACCACCGGCCCAAGTGACGGTCCACAGACCACCTGGCTTAACGGCGACTGACAGACCACTGATCTTGTTGATGGTCCACATACCACTGACTTTAGTGAAGACCTATAGACCAATATCCTCAGTTTCGGCACAAAGACCATGCATAGGCTTAAGTGACGGCCCTCAGACCACTTGCTCTAGTGACGTCCCACAGACAACTGGCCTTCGTGGTGGTGACGGTGACAGACCACTGACCTTAGTAATGTCCCGCAGACCACTTGCTTTAATGACGTCCCACAGTCCACTGGCCTTCGTGGTGGTGACGGTGACAGACCACTGACCTTAGTAATGTCCAGCAGACCACTTGATTTAATGACGTCCCACAATCCACTGGCCTTAATGACATCCCACAGACCACTGACTTTAGTAACGACCCACAGACCAATGGGCTAAGTAACGACCCACAAACCATTTGCCTTAATGATGGCGCACAGACCACTGACAATAGTGGCGGCCGACAGACCACTGAATTTAGTAACGGCCAACAGACCACTGGCAATAGTGACGGCTCATGGGCCATTGACAATAGTAACGACCCACAGAACACTGACCTCAATAACGGCCCACAGACCAATGGGCTGAATAACGACCCACAGACTGGCCTTAAAGATGGCGCACAGAACACTGACAATAGTGACGGCCGACAGACATCTGAATTTAGTAATGGCCCAAAGACCAATGACAATAGTGACGGCTCACGGGCCATTGGCAATGGCGCCTCAACTGGACACTACAACCAACTTCATGGAACCTATTATAGTGTTCGGGTTACTGTTCAATCGCCCTGTATTTACGGACGCCGTCTACCGCCCTGTATTCACGGACGCCGTCTACCGCCTTGTATTCACGGACGCCGTCTATCGCCCTGTATTCACAGACGCCGTCTACCTCCCTGTATTCACGGACTCCGTCTATTGTCCTGTATTTACGGACGCCGTCTATCGCCCTGTATTCACGGACGCCGTCTATCGCCCTGTATTCACTGACGCCGTCTATCGCCCTGTATTCACTGACGCCGTCTATCGCCCTGTATTCACGGACGCCGTCTATCGCCTTGTTTTCATGGACGCCGTCTATCGCTCTTTATTCACTATCGCCTTGCTATCACTGTACTGCTATATCTGTATGTTTACGACAGAGCCACCAGAACCTTTCCGCTTCTGTTATCTGATACCTATCGGGCATTCAACTCCTCTGACAAGCAACACTGGAGGCAGAAGGGCACATGGAATGACAGAAGCTTCTTCAAGAGCGTCTTCAAGGGCTGGTGTCCGAACGCCGTGATGAGGGGGCGTAAGTCCTTGCTGACGTCTTCCAAAGCTCCTCCAGATAACAAATACCGCGAGAGTAATACCCACGTCCTGCTCTTGTTACTTTATCCAAACCTATTCAATTCTACAGTTGTTACGTGTCACGCCCTACAGTTGGTCTGTTACCTGACCGCCTCCGTAGTAAGGCGTCCGTCCGGAGTTCGATCCCCGGTCGCGTCATGCCAAACGACGTTAAAAGATGTCTTGTTGTTACTCTGTCTGGCGCTCGGCATTAATTGGCTAAAACAAGGAGTGGTCGGCTCTGAGTGGGGTATTCGTGTTAAACTGCAGCATGGTATCTCAGTGGGCTGGCACCATGAATCGGCACCGCTCCGGACTAGTACAAGAAGCCATACACACGCGGCCATGCACGTCGCTTCAGTGCGACTATATCTTGGACGCGACGTTAAATCCCGTTTCACCTCACCTGGTATGTTGCAAAAGCCTATTCAATGCTAAAAGCTGTTATTTTGCCAATACCATTCACGCCCAACAGTTGGTATTTGCTAAAACCTTTTCACTTCCTTTCTTTTAATACCATATTACCAAAACCGAGTTAGTAAGTGAGAAAGTGAGTGAGTTGGGAGGATGTATGACGTTTTGCAATGTATAATATGAGACCTTCAAGAAAATGGAATGCCAAGATATAGTCCAACGAAAATGTCGCAGGGTCGAATATAAATATTTTCTTAACTACAAATGGTTGTCCATTAAATAATTGCATTACCCAAATACATTTTCACGGCAATTGGTATGATACCAATATGCTAGATATCTCCAAAACTAATGTCCGACACTGAAAATACACAGGAAAATACGAATTTAGAAAATTCAGAATCTTACAAAATCGTTCATACCCTTAAGGAAATAAAGAGAGAACTTACATGTGACAGAAATATCCAAGCAAATGACCAGCTCTCGTGTCATAACTCCTGCAAGGTCTAAAGGTATTTGTCTGCCAATTAAGAGAGAATTACTCACAAGACTTTCACGTCCTTCGAGAGCCCCGAAGGCACTGACGAGAGGTGCGCATTCCCACATTTAAGAATGGTCTTGTTTCTACATTGGCATCCTTCGGGCACCTTATTTAATCCTGAAATACAAGTAATAGATAAAGAGCACTACATTCCTCAATTTTATTCTCGGTATTAAGACGTATTAAATATAGTTCAATGATAATAATTGCAATCATATCTATTATGCAGGAACAGGGAACAGTGTATGGTTTACTGAGACAGAGCGTGACAACTTAGGAATTGCCAGCAACGGAAAGGACCCAACCACAAGAACAAACTTCATATCATTGGAAAGCTCTGGATGAGATAATTTGAACTGGTTGATGTCCCAATATGTATTCACGGCCATTTGGCCACAAACGGGCTTAGTAAATACATTTCTTCAGAAAATGTTTGATGAATATATGTTTCCTGCATAAAATACTGTAAAAAGAAGTTGTCTTGAAATTTAACTCAATTATACTGATGTTTGCTCACCGCATGCGTCTGTCAGCTTATCATCGTTAGCTGTTGGGCGTTTGGAGTAGATGGTGTTCCAGTAATCCCCCTGGCCCTTGTCATCTGAAGGAAACCCGAACCATTATACGATTGAAATCATTTAGTTGTTGAACATGGAACATTGCTATCTGTTAAGAACCTTGTTCACACCATTTGAAGATATGTTTAGATTCAGATTTAGCTAGATATATTCATGAAATACCTTTTGCACGTTCTGCGGAGGAAAATGACCGTACCTTCCATTGTTTCATCCGAGCCATCTTTACAGTCTTTCTTCTTGTCATTCTGTAGCGCGTTGTCCAGGCACTCTCCTGACCCACACCGGAACTGACCTCGAGGACACACGATATCTTGCCAAGATTTTCTAGCGTCTATTGAGTCTGCGGAACCAATTGAAACAATTGAATACGAAATTTGAAAATAAAATAAAATAGGCGCTTGGATCACTTTTGCATCTTCCGCTAGTGAGCCTTTGGGGATTTACGCCGCTTTCAGTAATATCCAAGTCATGTCATCGCGGGAGAAGGGGGGTGGGGTAGGGGTGGTTGACAGATATGGGCATCACACACTGAACCCGTATGGTGAATGGAACCCGGGTCTTCAGTGTAAAACAAAAGCGACAAAACCAGTCCGTATCCACACGAAATCTGTGCTAAAAGTGAAGTCGATTGTTCGATTCAGACTGCAAGTGAACATGTAACAAACGAAACTACAAAGTAAACACAGGCCCCATCTATCTACATACGAGAGACTAATGTCATCGTATCCCAATTTCGTGGATCGATGCTCATGATGTCCATGACTGAATTGTCTAGTCCAGACTCGATTATTTACAGACCGCTGTCATATAGCTGGAATAATGCTTAGTGCGGCGTTAAACAACAAACGAACACACGAACGAACTGGCATTACAAAGATAGAAGTAATAAATAACATTGCAATATTGTTTACTTGCATACATTTGGTAGAAATATAAAGTAAAAAAAACAATAGCTTTTCCATATTCACTGCCCAATGACTGTATGATTCGACTATATCATAAGCATGTGTTTAGGAATCACTATCAAATAGTTATGATACCAGATGAGGGTATCCTGCCCCACCGATGGGACCAGTGACCAACACATGCAAAGGCAAGTCAATTGTTCACCTAAAAGTCCGAAGAAATCCTAATGCATGTCTTTTGATCTCACCTGGTAATCGTGGTAAATTTAATATGCCTATTGAGTGAAGGTCCTTGGACGTATTCACAGAAAGTATTTGACACAAATGGAATTAATAGCACGTGGATTCTCAAAAACTCAAAGGATTTGCTTGACCCTTTGCAATCCCAGAAAAGAACGAGGTTCAATTATGTCAAAACATTTGATTTTTCAACATTGTACACCACTATTCCACATGACAAACTATCTTCAGAGGTTCAAGTCAATTTGTAAAAATTGAAAGCATATGCCATTTGATGTTTTATGAGAAAACAAGATGTGAAATTCTGGACTTTCTCATTGATATCATCTATGTACAATTTGGGGGTAAGACATTCAGGCAAGAGGTAGGCATCCCCATGGGAACCAATTGCGCTTCTCTTCTACCTGATCTGTTTCTTTATGCATGTGAATCGGGATTTCTCCTCTGATTGCCAAAGTCAGAACAAGGTAATTTGGCCAAGACGTTTAACTTAGGCTTCAGGTATTTCGATGATCTGATATCGTTCAATAACAATCGAATAATAGTAGTCAATCCCCTTCCACTGATTTCCCCTCCTGAACAAGAAATATAGGATATCAGTGAGGCCGCATCATCTATTTCATATTTGGATCTTTGCATAGTGAATTCTATTCTTGGACAGAAATACGTAAAACGCTTCAAATATTGATGTTTTATTAAACGATAATCAGTTAAACTCTGTTCTCGAACTCGATTAAATACATCGTTTAAGACGATAAAACCTTATGACTGCAGCATTATCATTAGGTACCAACGATTAGATATTCTGGGATGTGTGTGGGTGGATGTGTGTGTCTCTCTCTGTGTGTATGTGTGGTGTGGTGTGGTGTGGTGTGGTGTGGTGTGGTGTGGTGTGGTGTGGTGGTGGTGTGTGTGGTGTGGTGTGGTGTGGTGTGGTGGTGGTGGTGGTGGTGGTGGTGGTGTGTGTGTGTGTGTGTGTGTGTGTGTGTGTGTAGCCGGGGCATCTTACATCAATGTCATTTTTGTGGCAGACTATATTTGGGTTATGTGATGGCGTGTAAACTTGATGTTGGTAAAATGTGAAAATAAAAGCAGAATGTTTTGAACAATATCGTTTATCAACAAGTAGAAGACATCACGCTCCCAGAATTCGTCCACCAAGATATTGAAAACTGTTAGAACAAACACTCTATGTACGTTATTCATGTCAGTATAACAAAAACACATATCAAAGCTTGTTTTTCAGAAATATTAATGATGTTTAGTATTATTTCATTTTCAAAAAACATCGGGGGTAAAGTAATGTTTATTGTTAGTCAATATATCGATTAAGTTTAAAACAAACATAGTTTGTTCAATATCAGGGTCCCCAGGTGGGATATACGAAATAGAAATTAGCCCCACTGACCACCTGACCAAGGGTTTGTCTTGCGTATTAACATCACATGCTCTCAACCAGGAGCAGTAATAATACCGAGGTCATGTGGTGTCGCCTTATTCTTCTACGGATGCATCTAGACATGGCTATAACATAATTAAACCTCGACCGTTCGATCTAAACAAACAGTACGTTGGTAATATTTCACTATACAAGCACAAATGGCTTTGAGAATCCAAGTATATGCTCCAATGATTTCAAGCAATGACAATATCGAGAAACCAACACATATATAACAATAAATTCATCACTTAAGTCACATTTCTTCTGTTAATATAATCATATACATCCCTATAAATCTTTGAATCGGATATTTAAAACCAAAATTCGAAAATATCTTTGAAAAGAGAATTACAAAATTACTTACACAAGTTCTCAACGATCCCAAGCATAAGGAGACAGCAACGTGCTCCCAGTTTCATCGCTAATCCACAGTGTATAGAAGCCGTGATACAGCGGCGTGTGGCCAGCCTGCAACAGTGACGACACAAGCCATCAGTGACGTTGTAATGGACAAGATTAAATGACTGATCGAACCTCATTTATATACAGAGACAGACGAGGATGTGTATTGTTATAAGACAGTAAATGTTAATTTGTTGGAGAGGGTAAGGACGATTGTATAGCCAATGTTGGAGGTGGTTAATCGATACGATAAGTGATTAAGTGTAAACATATATCTTCTGTGCTCAGTCTGATTTTTTTCATTAAGATTTGACGTTTCACCTTGTCGTACACGATACTCAGTACTCGACATTATTTGTATTTAGTGTAGTGCAGAAAAGGTTTGTATTCCATTTAATCCATGAAGTTGTAAGTCTTGCCGAAACTAAATAATGTCAACACTTTCGAGTGATGTTTTTATATTACATTTATATATCTTATATATAGAAGTGTTTTTGTTCATTATATGATATTACACGTTATACCAACATATATATTAACGCTAAAGGAATCTTCAATTATTGATCACCATGTCTTGGTTAGTGAACATTTCAACAACAGTCACGTTTGACGTTACTGCAATTAAATGCTGGTGATCTTACCGACGAAACTCTGCTCAGTCAGGTAAAAGTTCAACACACATCGTGTGTCTCCTGCTCAGCTAAGCGTGGGGACATACACATAGACCTTCAGCCAAGCTGACGAGCTGTCATAAAACTGATTTCAAGTAGAATTTCCCTGAATCAAGTTCACGAACGCGCACGAATATTTTAAATATAAGATTGCAAATTTGTTACTGCCATTATTTCGATACAGGCGCCAAAGGACCTGTAGTAGCTAAAGGTGTGTCTATCACAGAGACATATTTCACAAAGGAATCTTGTGTCTAATTCTCGCCGGCTTTAATGTAACCTTTCTGTAGAAATTTGAAATATTCCATTTGTTTATCATTTCACTAAACACGCAATAACACACACAGTCACGCAGGGAATTCATTAGCGTATAATTGCGTGGAGACCTTCTTATACTAAAAACAGGAAAAAACGTAGCAAAACACTTTCATCAAACATAATTATTCTATTGCTTTTCGCTCATACCTAAAATATAATTATATCGAAAACAAACAGGTAGAAACGTGGGTGATATCGACTGAATCGAAATACAAATGTGTTAGTGTGGGTTCACAAATGCCAGCTTCATCGTTCCTAATTGATTATTCTGTCCAGCGAACATCAACGGGACTGTTATACTGAAATGATCGATATGTTGGTAACAACCTGTGGCTGATATCAACCTGTTGCAGATTTAAGATAGCGACGATCCATCAATGGTGGGTAAAGAAAAACAGACAGGAAAACCATGATAAAACTGTATCATGAGTCGTGGTTATTTGAATCCATCAATCCCCCGCTACAGATCAGTACCATAAAGGTGGCATATTGTAGCTGTGGGTGAGAATAGCAATGACCAGTGGAAAGACAAACGTGAGACATTAGGTCTTGCTGAATAGAAGATACACAGTGAGCTTATTGGACGAATGATGTTTTGGCAGACTAATGGCATCGTGAGAACAAATATACTTAGGGAAGAGTATTTGTGGATGACAACTTCTTTATTATGAGGAACTCAACGGACCGGCTTTTCTATATTCTGGGGGATGGCCAGGGTATATATTTTTGCTTTTTTTATTTGTTCCAGAAATGTCTTGAAACAATAATTTGATATCAAGTTTCGCACACAAACGTAATTGTTCATTAGAAATGCTGAAGGTCATGAAATGTTTGGCGCTGTGCTTCAGAGAAGACATTTGAAGCTGTGACAGAAAAAGTATTCTTGTCTCTGATAAAAATCCACGTTCCATAAATACAACAATATTTTAACCATTTGCGACATTCAATGTAGAATCTTCTTCTAGTGTAACAGGGGTCATGTCAACTAAAGCGAAATAAGATTGTATGGTTGAACATACTTGAAATGAATGTTGTTGGATATTTCAAGGTATGAGGGTTTCATGTCTGATATCTGCTCCGATTTTGAAATTGTTGTCTGTAAGTAAGTACAGCTTGTCCTTGGTTTAGTGGATAGGGGGTCTGCCCGGAGGGCGAAAGATCGGGGTTTCGATCTCCGGCAGCGTCTTACCAAGGATGTACTTGTTATTACCCTGGGGCGGTCGGGTAGCCTAGTGGTTAAAGCGTTCGCTCGTCACGCCGAAGATCCGGGTTCGATTCCCGACATGGGTACAATGTGTGAAGCCCATTTCTGGTGTCCCCTGCCCTGATATTGCTGGAATATTGCTAAAAGCGGCGTAAAACCATACTCACTCACTCACTGTTATTACCCTGCATGGCGCTCGGTGTTTAGAGGATAGAACAAGGAATCATTATACAGTGTGTGAGTGGGGTGTCCGTGTTAAACTCCGTTGCGGTATCTCAATGGACTAGCATTATAACTAACAGCGACAAAACCCTCTCAGTATTCATAAGAAATATCTGCCCAAAGCCGAGGACATGCTGTACGTTTCCGACCGTATCATAAGTATGTTTCATGACACCAGGTGTTCGTGAAAAGGTGAGCGTATCCTGCCACACCAGTTGTACCCGTCACAAACACATTGCAAAGGCAGGTCAATTGTTCACCTGAAAAAATACGGGAACATATGAAACCAGTAAATTGGGAATTGCATCCGACATTTTGTCACCGACACGTCAAATTTGGAAATGTCCTCCACATGTTTACCATGAAACATTTTAAAAGCGTTACTGAGGTCTGTAATGTTATAACATTGATGAAGCAGCTTCTGAGCAGGATTCGTATGATGCTTTTTGAAATCGTAATGGAGCATGCTCGATTGTATCTCAAAAGTTGTGAAATGTAGAAGGTTGGAGCTGAGGAAATATTGCTAGACATAAAGGAAACGTTGACCTTTTGAAAGTAATCCTCATGTCATATGTTTTGTCACTCTTTATGTTTTAAGATTTAAATATGTTCGCGAAAACGTGAGCGTATCCTGCCCCATGGGTGGTCCCACTCACCGAAGTAAAGTGAAGGCAGAGCGAAGGCATAGTATCTGTGGTAACGATTGTTTTAAATTTATATTATGATCAGGATCACACACGACACACGACAGTTGCAGTTGAAAGTCTGAAGTATGCAGGTAAAACTGGTTGTCCGGAACAAATTCTGGATTAGAATCACTTGTGACGTCACAATTGCCTGCAGTTGCGCGTGATTAATTCTTTGAGGCCATAATATAAGCTGGAAATGATTGTCGATGAATATTTCGGCGTCAGGTGTCATCAATACCAAAGATAATACAAAGTGAAATTCTGATCCTAATCCTTGAACTAACACAGTGAGTGAGTGTGTTTGGTTTGACACCTCTTTGAACAGTATTGGAGATATATGACAGCGTGGATGGAAAGTAAGGAGTGGTACATGCTTCAAATGCTTACCATTTGGTAAAACCCCGAGCACGATGTGGTGCTAATAGTCAAAGAAAGGAAATTAGGCTGAATCTGTGATCCGAAACCATGCTCATCGGATCCAGACATGCCCAAAGAACGCAACTCTGCAAGCGGTTTAAGAGGCCTTAGACAAGTGAGCCGTATGTACCCCAATCATGGATTCTTACACGCCTATTGGACATAACCTTTGAACAGCGAACGGCGGCCCATGAGACAACTGCGCCACAGGTTCGCCTTTATGTGACACGAATGATCAAGGACATACATAGCGTGAGTGTTTGACCTGGAACGTGATATTATGCCTGCTTCTCACAAACAGGTCATACATTTATGAATGTCTGCATGGAAAGTGACATTGTGAATACATCGGACACCGACGTCAAGATCAGCCATGTACGTTCTTCCGGTTTATTGTGTCAAAGGCACTTATAATGATTTTTTCTAACGTAAAAATCTATGAATCTAGCAAATGCCGTTAAATGTGCAAAAACATCAAAATCGAACACTATTATCATTTGTCACGAGCAAAATAATATGCAAGTCGACAGCGTAACATGATGAGGCAGGTCTGTGAGACACTTACAGACCAAAATAATGTATTTAGAAAATCGACGTCGGAAATTGCTGAGAATAATCCATCAGGCTTAATTTTGAAGAATGACCATGTTCTTACACTTTATCATGTATTCTATATCATATATGTGCATACCTAATACATTTTAACGTTCAAAATATATCAAATGTTTTTGACGGTATTGACGACAGACTTTGATGGTGTAGATAGTGAGGGTGACGTCAAAGCCTGCCTGCTGCCCAATGGTAAACCTATGACATTTGCTACTTGGAAACATATAATGTTCATTGGACAAGGATTCTGCGTGTATTTGCGGAGATCACGCGCATTTTACACGTGAGAACTATAGGTAGGCCATGGTTGAGGATAATTTTGAAAGAAAACATTTGAAAAAAAATGGTAATTAGAATATCCCTTTACAACCCTTCTTGCGGGAATATTCTGACCTTTAACAAAGTGTTTTTGCATATATTTCTTTTCAACTTCGATAACAAGGATAGAATAGGCAAAATTATAAAAATCGTATGATCATATTAAGTTGAAAGAAATGGGGATTGCTTGTAATCCCAACTTCCGGATGATAATATGGTATAACCCCTGAGCCACATTTAAGTAAAGCCGCGCTTACAACACGTGATTCGTAGAGATTAGGAGAATACCTTATAAAGAGGCCAAGCGAGAGGCACATATAGCGTCACCATGAACAATTTCAAGTTAAAGAAGTCGGTTGAAGAGTTTCTTGCAGTGATAAGGGGTCGATAATTTAATAATCTGGGGACTAGGAGATCCTTTCAAAAATAATAATTCGTTCATCGGTAATGCTCAATTTTCTGAAAAATAATGTGTTTTGTTCTTCCTCTTCAGCACTTGCTGAAACAATAATACATGCCATAACCATAATACATGCGTACCCTGCCCATCCGGTGGCACCCGTTATAAACACATGCCAAGGCAAGTCAATTTTTCACCAGAACAAGCACACGGGCCCA